AAAAGTGGCAAGTATTGTTTTAGACAAAAATTGTCAAGCACAGGCACAATAAAAATTAATTTTGACCACATTAATTTTTTTAAAACTTATTTGTAAAAGGATGTTTAAGGTTTCCTGAAAAAATAATGAGAGCTTGATGTTAGGACTTTTTTGGTAAGTAGTTGGTTTTTGTTTCCTTTTCTTCAAAAAGTTGTTAATATCCTCATGTTCAATCATTAATATCTTGAAAACAACCAAAGGCACCCTTTTTCCTTTCCAGTTTTGAAATCAGCATTAATCCTCGTAATTCAAAAACTTCATAATGGATTTTTTCTATATTAGGCCTAGTTTTAAACRCTTGATTTGAGCCCACAATGTGCGCGTGCTCAAAAACCACTGAAAAATCTACRAGATTTTATTGAAAAACCATACGCATTTTGAGCTTCAACAGGGCAAAACCCTCACATTTGGCACAGGACTCTATTTATCAATAGCTTATTTGAATAAACTCCTAAAAAWCTAGGTTATATCAACATTTTAGAAAAAGTTAAATATTCTAACACATGACAATATAGATTTTTGTAGAGAATTTTGTTCGACTTTTTAAGAGCACCGAAATTACAATATGACAAATCAATGTATCTCTTTGCCTTTTTGTCGAAAATATCCTCGTATTATTGTAGAATGACTGACTAGCCTTCATTTGTGCAATCATATACCCCATTCATACCTAAGCGTGTTTAGTTAAACTGTGTTTTCATTGTGGAAAAAAATGAGAAACTAGAAACCTACAATATAATGAAACTTTCTAAAATATTGTCAGAGCAAGATAAAAGGATAGCTTACATGAATTATTTTACCAAAGATTGTGCAGTGTTTGTAGATAGTTTTTCAAACCTGTTTAGTTAAACCACTTTAAAACATGTTTAAGCCTTGGTGTGAATGGGATAGTAGRGTCTGCAAATAACTATTATCTTATGAATCTTAATTTTTTCTAATCACTTCCGGTGGCGCAATTTTTGCTGTAAAAGGTCATGCATAGGTTTGTATTACATGCTGATTATCTCGAAAACAAGCTCGGGACACCAATTTTTCTTACCAGATTTGGAAGTTTTAAAAAAAGCTTAATATTTTTTCAAAAAGTAGGCAGTTACTTTAAGTACTACCTGTAACTTGAGCACCATGCAATAAAAAAGGTATGATAACCTGAASTTTTAAATGGGGAACTTTGGATAATAGTCCTTTGTCAGAACAAAGAAACTTCATTAAAGGAGTGATATTCAGAATGTCAGTCAGGTACACCTTTTCATAACAGTCATTACAGAAAAAACTTCTTAATTTTTTTCACTGAAAATTCAGAATTTTTAACCCACAATTTACATTCGTGATTACATATCAAGGATTCGAAACTAAGGGAATGTACAATTTTCATTGGGGGAGGACTGGGGAATTTTCAGTAAAGTTTTTGAGAGCGGTTGTAGCAATTCCCCTTTCACTTAGTAAGAAATTCATAACCCTCTAATTAAGTCAGCCATCCCTTTTGCTTTAGTCAAAATAAAAAGGTTTATACCCCTCTACGTTTACTGATGACCCTYCCCACTGTAGCTCCAGGCCTCCGTGCCTGCCCCGTACCTGCCCCGTACCTCTTAAGTTCAGGGAGYTGATGGTTTGAATCTTGCAGTAATCTGACAAGTAAAACAAGCATATAATGTCAATGATAACAAACCCTAATTAAATATAACAAAAGCATTTAAACATATTTTCCATTTTGTTTGAAYTGACGATGACAGAGAAATGCTTGAAATTCAAAACTTTAGTTATTTTCTTTGAAAATTTCCAACTAATCTAAAGACCTTTTGGTGGAAATCTTAATCTAGAGTATGTATTGACTATCAATTCATAATAAAAAAGAGACCCGAATGTTTAAAACCTTTTCATCCTGCACTTCSGTACGGTCGTGTACAAATGAAACCACGCTGCCCTTCATACTGACTATTATTTACTTCACCTACGCCGTCTTCAAACTATTAATTAACTCCTTAATTAACCTTTCAAACTTCGATTTGCTTTTCAATGAAATAAAACATACCTTGGCTTCAAGTCACGAAGAAAACAAGAGACAAATAACAACACAACTCCTCACAGAAGTCCGTCTTGTGCAGATCGGTTCCTTCGCGTCTCGGACTCCGTACTGAGCATGCGCAAATTAATTTTGGCGCCAAAATCTTGCGTTTTTCTTTCCGTTTCCGGTACATTTGTTGAARACTTATGACAGATAGGTTGAAAAATTCTTTAAAATAGAGAAATTCTTTARACTTGTTCATTTTGCATGRCRTTTTGYAAATGAAAAGTGTTCGTTTTGGTCYAGTGCTCAGGCTTTGAAGTATCTGGTAAATGCAGCTATTGAAGATACTGACTTGGCTAATTTCCCGCGCAAAATTGTTGAAGTCCGATGGTATACTTCCACATTTTCTAGCATTCTATATATAAAGCACTTAGATCTTTTAAAGCTGATAATAGAATGATCTTTGTTTTAAAAGAAACGTGCGAATGAGATGAAAATTTACCAGCTCAATCACTCTCTTTCTTACTTTCTTTCTTACTTTCTTTTTTCCTTACGTTGGGCTTCCTTTGGTATATTTCCTCTCAAATCCAGTCCTTCGCGGTGTTCTTGGAACGCGGTACATTTGAACGCCTGTCACAAATTCCAACTGACGCCGTGGTAAATAAATGAAGGTTGGCAGCTGAAAATACGAAGTAAATGACTGCATTGTTTGGTATATATTCAAAGACAATTATTATTGTGCATTCCTGTGATTATGAAGAGATATTAGCACTTTAAAAAAGTCCAAAAAATTAGATACGGAGCTTGAGTAGAGACAAAGAAGGGATGCTGATACTAGGACAGAACGAACTGGTGTTGTTGTTCAGGTTCAAAAACATCGAAAGAGTCTTCCTAAGGTAAAATGAGTTCTCAAGGAGAAGATAACRCTTCGATGCAGGTATCAGACAAAGGAAACGGCGCTACCAGCGGTACTTCAATGCCTGAATACAGTTATGAAGTAAGAGAAGGATTTAGTCTACATAAACAACAAGGAAGGTCGGGTAGTATTCCGGAGATCCCAGCAATACCTACTAACCTTATGGTACCTCCTTCACATGTGAGTTCGAGTACTACCTCGACCGTTAAAACTGGAGGACGTCAAATGACCATAAATATATCCCAAGAAACAGGTAAATTATTGGTGTATTATCACAGCAGTTAATTTCATTAGCTTATAGGTTATTTTTGAATAGTGCCCTGCATTCTTTTATATCCCTATTGTATATAGATAATATATTTAGCTGGGTCTCCACGATTTTTTCCTTCTCTCTCTCTCTCTTTTTCTTTCCCCTGAGGACACAGGTGTCCTTGCTTCCATCCCCTCTGAAGGATGAAAGATAAGATGTGACCTGTTTCCTCTGGCTATACTGGGCCCTTTTTAATCCCCATGTATTCCTAATTTTATATATAGTATTTTCTTTTTATATTCTTAATTTATTGTATATAGATAGTATGTTTAGCTGGGTCTCCCCGATTAGCAAAGCACGACTGTGCCAATCTAGATGTTTTTGAGACTGTAATAAAGTTTATTATTATTATTATTAGAAGATAATATAGGTAAGTTGTAGTGCTTGGGAACGAGGTTATTCCGGGCGAAAGCCCTTGGAATTAAATTCGGAAAAATTAATTTCCGACCTCGCTGGGATCCCAGC